TTTTTCCAATATATATTAGTTACAGTAATTCATGTCGCTGACATTTTTCTCTAACCACAGTTAACAAGTGTGGTTGTGAATAGTAAAGACACACACACACACACACACACACACACACACACACACACACACATAACACACACACATTATATGTTGGAAACAACAGCATTGACTGGGTGGAGTACATACAGTTGGAAGATCTCTGTTTTGCAGACAATAAATATTCTTCCAAGTAAGAATAGCAATGACATGCAAAGAAAAACAGACCATTTATCAAAACCAGCACCAAAACTGTGCTACAAATAAGTTCAGAAAATACAAATATATTGAGGACACCAGTAACAGATCAAGCAGGTGTAACATCGTAGACAAAGAGAATTTAGCTATTTAGGCAGTAATCTTGACAGTCAAAGAAACCCACAAGGAAAAAAACCATGACACGCACTGACAAGGCGTCAACAGCGTTTAAAAGCCTAAACAATGTATGTAACTTTCAATTGTATAGTATTACGTACTTTCAATTCTGATGTTATTTCGACTTTTACATGTGCCAGTTAAAGTTGGGAAACGACTAAAGACACGGAACGAAAGTTAAATGCATTCGGGGAAAAAAATATGAGGTAAATCATCATCATCATAAACCACCTCTTCCGTTAAGCTTCGTGAAAGACAATAATTTGCGATTCTGTGCACGCAGGCTGCCACTGGGTTGTCATGCCGTGAAGGCGTAGAGTGTCTTTAATGTTGTCGATCTATTTTTTTTTCTGCAGCCGTCCTCTAGCTCTTGTAGCCGATCTTCTGAGATTTTAACGAGATGGCCAAACCACTTGATGTGCTGTTTCTCGATGAATCTAGTACAAGGTGTCGTTCCCACAATTTCTTTGATAGTATCATTTTTTACTCGATCTCGGAAGTTAGGTTGGCGGCTTTTCTCGGGCATCTCATAGGTGGTAAAAATGGAAATTCAAGAGGGGTGCAGAAATAAGAGAGCTGTTTCGGCAACTTCTGGCAACAACAGTTGTTAGACAGAGAAGATGGCGCTTATTTCTGAGAAGAAACGAGCATAGAATCACAGAACAGATACTGAAATTGGAAATAATAGGACGGAGAAAAACAAGCAAGTCCACAAAAAACTGTACGGCGATTAACTGTTCAAGTAGCATCCCAGATCAATGCCCTACCAAGTAACCTGCTACTCTAAAGGGAAACAAACGCCAACCGCATCGACACACAGAAAACGTCTCCAACAAAGTAAACGAAACTTCTACATACGAGAACACGTATTTGACAGGCAACATCAATACGTTTATTTAATAACTTTCCACACATACAATATGTGTTCATGAAACGAATATGTTACGATCACTGTACTTAACGATGGCAGGATAATTTCTTCCCTCTAGCATGGAGTTCAGAGCATTTGCTCTCCCGCGGCATCAGAAACTGCGCCATCAGAATCATATCAAGACAAGCCTCTACCATTCATACATTCCTCTTAACTGTCTTCTGTCTAATTCTTCCAAGATATGGAAGTGATCGCACAGGTCAGAATGCAGTGGAGGAATAGACTGTGAACCCTTTTTTGACATATAAGATAGGACGAAGAATGAACAGCTAAATAAACACACCAACCGTTGTTTTGACGAGTGCAACCGTCCATTATTGCTAAACCCGACAACAGTATCTCGCACACATATCTCTTTGTTTTTGATGAATGGAAAACTGTGTCAGTACGACCATGAGAAATCGATAACCACATATGCATTTTGGGCAACACAGGTTATACTGCCCAGTACTTTCGAAAGTTCCGAGGAACTTCTATTTTATGAGATCAGCAAGGGGTGAGCAACTGCAATACTGTGTACTTCAGTGACGTATATTGTTATCTTTTATATTATATTGAAACAAATAATGTTACCTTTTCAGGGCAACATAAGTCTCCGCTGTTTGATGTTCAGTAGTTTCATGCTGTTAAATGTTTCTGATAGATAAGTAATTGACTACTGCTTAATGTTTATCATGGATTAGTAATTTGAAGCTGCCAACTGTTTGTGAGTTGTTGGACTAGATTCCATCGATAATATGGAAAGAACTGCATAGGATGGAACGGTAATAAGAAATATATTGCGAGCCTTATGTGGCATAACTCAAAAGATCTGAACATCAGGGAAGATTGGCTAATAAACAGCATCCTTTCTCGAAAGCTGAAATATTTTGGTCATATCAAGCGTCACGACGGATTGGAAAAAATTATAGCAGAAGGCATGGTACCAGGAAGGAGGGGCAGGGGCCGACCGACACGAAGATGGGCACAGGATATAAGTGGCTCCTTGAGTGTGAAAGTACATTAAGGCAGGAGAACTGGCGAGAGACCGAGTTTCTTTCAGGCAGACTGTGATAAGAGCGACGTTCTGCAAAGGACCTGCTACATGATGATGATGTGGCATAACGTAGCACAACCGAATAATGATGAAGTAGAAGTATTTATGAGACGCTTGGGAATGTATTACCACTGTTTCTGTTGTTCTCGGGCATGTAATACCGTCAACTGTTTGTGAGGGCTGCTACATTTAATAACTGGTAATGAGAGTTTAGTACGTTAATACCGTTAACTCTTTATGAAGGCTCGGTAATTTATTTGTTGCGATCTGTTTATAAGGGCGCAATCATTGACTGCTGTCAGCTGTTTATGAAGCGATTAACAAAAAGCAAAGCCAGCTTACCACAAACTTTATGTTTTAGTCCAATATATCAGCAAACTAGTGGCAACACCCACGATGGCTGGTTTGTTAACACTGCGCCACATAAAGGAGCCAAGATTAAAAGCCTGGGTATAACGTTTACAGCAAGATGAAGATATTTCTAGTACCTAATTAATTGATCAATGCGGACTAAAGCAACTTTCATGAAAAAAAAAAAAATGTTCTATGCAATAAATCATTGTCAGGCAATATTGTGTACACGGACACATGACAAGATTACCCTTTTCTGAAAATGAATGAAAATGTTCCTATTTGACAAAAGTCAGATGGAACCGTGCAAAAGTTGGACAGCCCCGTCTGCGGGTATATATGAGCGTACGGACTGTGATTGATTAAGAACAAACTGAGAGCGAACACGTTTCAGGCCTTGGTGGAATTTCCTGGGGAAGTAGCGGCAACGGGGCCAAGAAACACATCAAGAGGTGACATCGTGGGGGCTTTGGAATCTGGGCATTCACTTGCAGAATGAAGAAAGCAGTGACACAGGACGTGATCTTTCCGGTCAGTCACTGTACAGCATGCATGTGACTGGTTCTTGCTGGGGTTAAAATATATCCAACAGCAGCGTCAAAACCGAGAAAACATGACTGGGGGGGGGGGGGGACGCTCAACGCCTCGCATTACAATGTTCTTTGTTTTAAAGGAATAATAATAATACTATGGCAAATACTTACAGGAAACTATGTTTGAAATGAGATGTTCTCCGTGTGGGTTCCGGGGTCCCACTGTGGGGTAAACAGGAATAGACCCACCCACACCCCACCCCACCCCCCCCCCTCCTAAACAAGCATGTCATAAGTCGACTGAGTTTTTCCTTCAAAGTTGGAGTGCATCTATCTGAGAGGCAAAAGACATCAGTTTGCATTCAAACAAACAAGATCTGTAATACGGATGCATCTGCAAAACTCAAGTCCTGGAATAAAGCCAGTGTCCAGAAATGGTGAACGCCGGTGAACGCAAACAACACATGAGATGTATAAGCAAATACCTTTTAAGATAACTTTTATATGGATAAAGGGGAGCACTTAGCCCCCTAAAAATGTGGGTGCTTTAGCCCCTTTCCCTTCCCCTTTTTGGGGGGTTTGAGCGGCTTGTTCGTCTAGACTCCGACGTCTGTGATACCAAATAGTCTTTTTTTTTCTGTGAAAGAGGGTGTCCTCATTTCATCCTCGTCATCCCTATCATCAGCACCTTCAGCATTCTAGTATGCCCATTATACGTCACACAAAGCTCCCAATCTATCCCTCTGTCCCGTTCTATGTTGTGAAGGCTTTTCAGTGTCATGGGTGGAAGTCAGTCCAGCACAGTCTGCTCTCACATCAACGTTGTTCCCGGGGCTTTGAGGCGTATTATCGTAAATGATAGTCTTTTGGGTCGATTTAGCCTGAAATAGATATCATGCTACAACTCATGATTCTAACACTATCTCGTGTGATTTCGTAGTCGTTACTATGGGCTGTCCTAGGGGTGTCAGGTGTTACTTGTTTTGAACGTTTTAAGGCATACACCACCGACCACCACCACCGCTAATGAGCGTGAAAATACCCACACACAAAAACTATTATTCTATACTTACAAACCTTCGCGCATTCGACGCTTCCTCTGAAGTACGTATTCCTTGTACACAGGCGCCTGCGGAGCCTGAGCTATTCGCAAAAGAACATTCCACAAACAGCAATCGTTCACAAAAAAGACAGGTGAGAGAGGGAAGCTACCCAATTTTGTCTGGGACACAATGTGTCGATGGCACTGAACGAACTCGAGACAGTTTTCGCAACGGTGTGTATAGACGTCAAAAGAACACATCTGATAACACCCCTAGAATATTGGACAGCCTGTGGGGACGAATACGAAATCACGCAGGCAAACGAGATGTGGTGAGAATCGTGAACTGTTCCGATATCTTTAATTGCCATAGGAAGCAAAAGCTGTTGCAATTCTGAAGTTATGTATCGACTAAAAACGGCCGGAGTGATACTGACCACCTTACCCACCAAGTGCTGTCTGGTCTACAAAATATAAATCTAGCTCTATATGTCCAATGCGCCTAAAGGCACTGCCTTCTTCATTTCCACTTAACTTGCTATAAGTCTAACATGTTGTAAAAGATGCTCCTATATTTGCTTTTCAAACATAATGCAATATTAAACACTTTTCTCTTATCTCATTCCACGTTACCAGGGGACGAAACTATAATAAGTGCCCCATACCGTATATTTGTTGGAGGGCGATTCCGACATGGGAGTTCAAGGCCAGCCGTCGAGCCAGACCAACAATCTGATGCAGGCTCACTCCGGACAGCAGCTGCACGTCTCCGGGGTCTTCATTGTTATCCTGGAGCTGGCACTGGTCGTGGAGAACTTGCTTCCCATCCTGGTGGTCGTAGTGTGGTTACCTGCCCCTGCCAGAGGCGTCAGTGACCGGCTTGTGGCAGCATTCAGTATCACCTGCATACTCTCCGGTGAGTGGCCATGTCTGTGTGCAACACTGTCTGTGTGCAACATTGTCTATGTGAGTTGATGTATGTGCCAGTGCTGGATTCATGGCCTCACAATATGCAAGGGCCTCAGCAATTCCTTTTTTGCTCACCAATTCAATTTTCGGTTCTTTCGTAACCCCCAGATGACGTCACGGGGACAGTCCAATATTTTATAGGGTGGTAAGACCGGCTTTGTGGTGCTTTTAACTAACCTAAAACATCTAGAACTGGACCTCACCCCAACCCACCTATGTCCCACGAGAGTGTGCAGCCTAGGTCCCACGAGTGCAGGCAGCCTAGCTCGCACTATTGCATAAAGTCTATCTACTACCCCTGAAATATTGGCCTGTCTGTTTCGGGTGAATAAAAACGAAAAATGTTTTTTTGTTTTTTGTTTGTTTTGTTTATAAAGCATAAAAGAAGATTATACAATTAAATCCTTATTACTTTCCAGACACATTCTTTACACTTCCCGTCCCAACGTGGGACGCAATTTTTCGTTTTTTCAAAGCTTCACCCGGCTCTGGTCGGGGCCTCTAATATAACCTAATAGTTGAACTGAGTTTCTGGGAATTGTGACTCAGAGGACCTCATCCGAATGGTGTCTCTTTTTGTCACCGGGTGTTGGACACTCGTTGTACGGTCCTAGTGGTGTTAAGCGACACACAGACACATTCTTTGTTTTTGTTTTTTTTTTAAACTAAAAATTAAACATTTCCAACATCTACATATTTGAAGGACGTATGTATTTTTACAGTTTTAGCAGATTTGCTCTTGTAATTTAAAACAGTAGGGCCTCAGTGCTTTATTAGCTAAGGGCCTCTTCAATTCTAAATCCGGTCCTGTTCTGTACTATGTTAGCCTTCCCGCCCGAATGACTTGGGTTCGGATCTTCCGGGGGCGGAGGTTTCTATAACTGATCTTGGCTCCCTTGTCAAGGTAGCCTAAAATTAGTACCATGAAATGACATAGTAAGTAAAGTCACCTGGTGTGATGTTGGCCACTTAATCTATCGAATGCTTATTGGTCTATAAATTATACGTTAGGAGCATATGCATGGAGAGTCTCTGTGGTGTAGCTGCTAGACGTTCTGCCTCCAACCTGAAGGTAATGGGTTCGAATCCGCACCGAGTAGGCTTTTTGTTATTACAACTGCCGACTGCCGTATAATAATATGATGCACGAGTGTCGATAATATGGCTCTTGACATCTTCTTAATCGTATCCCTGATGCCTCAGTGATGTGGTACATTTTAACTTTAGAGCGTCTGTGGCTTAGGCGTTGCGAACGCGCTTTAAATGCCGGGATGCCAGGTTCGACACAGCTGCGTACGATTTGGCAGCAGAACGTCTTGTGTTGGTTTCGACTGTGGTACCCAGAGCTGTCCTTTGAGAAAGCAATGGTAAACTAATAAACGTAAAAATTGCCTAGAAGAACTACAACAGCCAAAAAATATTGGGGAATGTTCTGCAACGTCCTGTAATTGATTTGCAACTAACTAAATGAGCGCCTGTGTAAGGCAGTGGCCGACACCGCTGGCTGTTGTTCCGGCGAAAATGTGTCCGAATATCAATCAAGGCGGGGTTTGACGATTGACTTAGTCGACTGAGCGTAAACGTGGATACTAAAATAAATTCTTAGAAGTAAAGGCAATCTGCTTAATACTGGTCACAATATATATATATATATATATATATATATATATATATATATATATATATATATATAGTGTATGTGATTATTGTACACAAATAAGCAACTAACCACCATATACCGTGATGCATCGGGCGTAGAATAGTGTTTTTAATTATACTAATTATACAAGTGTAAAATTGAAAACAATATTTTGACCTGGTGAATTTTAATAATACGGAGACAAATAATGTATTGCACAATGTATTGTCTGACGCATTTTTCTGTACCTCATCATGTGTGTTTAACAGAGTTATTAGTTATATCTACATATAATGAAACCTTTACAAAATGTAATCCTTTCCACTGACATACAAACTGATATTATCTTATCTAGTTACGATGTACATCATGAACAGACGTTTAAGACGGTCACGTGGTTTTCACGTGGTGACTTGGTGTATGACGTTAGATATGGTGACGGCCCTTTGGGAAGGAGTGAACAGTGCGGAAGCCCAGGTAGATCTTTACGGTCTGAGGACAATGGCGCTGCAAGGAGTTACCAGGGAATCTGGGCGACGCTCAACACTCAGGGGAAGGATAAGACGCATATACAATCAGACGGTTACTGGTACCATCGGAATTGGAACTCTTCGCTTGCTGCTGAAGATGGGGACAGAGCACTTATGGAAGTGTCCAAGTGCTGTGATGTCGATTCTTGATTCAACATTTAACTTTCGTGGTTTTCACGAAAGCTTTAAATTTATCATATGCTCTTTTTTGTCTGCACATCACGGCATTGTTGTTTTTAATTGTTATAGATTCAAGCAGTTTCAGTAATAGTTTCGGTGGGTGGTACTTATCCTTTCATGCCTGTAAAGAAATCTATAAACAGAAGTATGGAGTTAACACCATCTACCTTACACCTATGAAGGCGGGGAAATGTGACTTTTACTTCTGCACATTATTTTATACACTGTAGTATTTCCATGGAAATGTATCACTCCTATTTAATTATTTCAAACAAATGATTTCAATAAAACTTAAAATAAACACTTCTTATTCATTGTGGTATTTTTTTTTTTCCATGTGTTATTTGATTCAAATTTCCTGGCCACACGACTCTCTGTGCCAGTTGGTATAAGTGTCAAGGTCTGGCCGCCATACATATTTCTTATACTATTTTAGCAGAGGAGTGGAAAGAGTCGTAGAGCAATGCTTAACACACCAGACTGCCAGTGCCCTAATTATGTGGTTCAAGAGTCTCATAAAGGTGGAAATCTTTTTAAACTAACCTAGACTTCCAAGTAGCCAGGGCTCTAAAAAGCTGTCGGAATTTGTTCTGAAAAGTAAAGGTAGCCGGAGTAATGTTGAAACACACTACACTTCAAACCAATAAAACAATATGATACTAACACAGAGACTAACACAGAGACTAACACAGAGGTTAACACAGAGACTAACACAGGGACAAACACAGAGACTAACGCAGAGACCAACACACAGACTAACACAGAGACTAGCACAGAGACAAACACAGAGACTTAAATGGAGACAAAACAGAGGCTAACACAGATACTTACACAGAGGTTAACACAGAGGCTAACACAGAGGCTAACACAGAGACTAACACAGAGGCTAACACAGAGGCTAACACATAGACTAACACAGAGACTAACACAGAGACTAACACAGAGGATAACCAGAGACTAACACAGAGACTAACACAGAGGCTAACCAGAGACTAACACAGAGACTAACACAGAGACTAACACAGAGACTAACACAGAGACTAACACAGAGACTAACACAGAGACTAACACAGAGACTAACACAGAGACTAACACATAGGCTAACACAGAGACTAACACAGAAACTAACACAGAGACTAACACAGAGACTAACACATAGACTAACACAGAAACTAACACAGAGACTAACAGAGAGACTAACACATAGGCTAACACATAGACTAACACAGAGGCTAACACAGAGACTAACACAGAGACTAACACAGAGGTTAACACAGAGGCTAACACAGAGACTAACACAGAGGCTAACACATAGGCTAACACAAAAACTAAAACAGAGGCTAACACAGAGGCTAACACAGAGACTAACACAGAGACTAACACAGAGACTAACACAGAGACTAACACAGAGACTAACACAGAGGTTAACACAGAGACTAACACAGAGACTAACACAGAGGCTAACACAGAGACTAACACAGAGACTAACACATAGACTAACACAGAGACTAACACAGAGACTAACACAGAGGCTAACACAGAGACTACAAGTGCGCTACCGCAGGTCAATCTTTCAAAATTATTTCACAGAAATATAAGTTCAAACAATAATTACCAAAGAGCATATGCAATATTTTAGGAAGGTATTGTCATCATTTAGACAATCTAGATATAAATGTCAGTGTAATCGCTATAATTAGATTTTGGAACTGTCTTCTCTGTCATCTAATATCCATTTCTTAACATTTACTTCTGTCAGTGCCGATCAATGCGTGTGAATCTATTTCTCATGTTGTTGTTGTAGTTTTGTGTGTTTATATTTAATGACCCCCCCCCCCCCCCCCCCCCGCCCAAAAAAAATCAACAACAAAATTAAACAAACTGTACACACGTTCTTGACAACAAAAGATTATTACTTAGTAAATAACTTCCGATCCAAAAGGCGGGAAAAGGGTCCTCTACTTTACTGATTTTCTAAATATCTTCCCCTTAGTAGAAGTCTGTGTGTGTGTGTGGGCGCGCGCGTGTGTGCGTGTTTGCGTGTGTCTGTAACTATGTGTCCTTGACATGCCGTTTTATTCAAGAAAAATGGAGAAAGACACAACAGAATAAGAAAACCCTGTACAGGTTCTAAATAAACTAGGAGCCATAGAATTTCCAAAAGACGTAAAAATCACGCAAATCGAATAATTTAGGCGCATAAAAAGGCAGAGCGCACTGATAAAAACTATAATGGATGGAAAGGCGGGGGCAAACGTGCAATTCATATGGAAAGATAACTTGGGAGATGGAGGGGGAAAAGATGTCTGGCTGCACGGTAATGAGAGAACGATAAGCGGAGGTAGGATGGGGTTTTTGTGGAACCATTGGAGCCAGTATAAAATAAAAAGATTGTTTTAGATGTTTAATATAAGTTATTTTACTTCTGATCTGCAGGTGTCGGTTAGAAGTTATAGTGAGGATGTCGAGCTTAAACGCTTCTTTTTTCTCATATGTTTTATCCTTGTAAGGACTTTTGGATAGTTGTTTTGTGTTCTATAGCTAGGCTGTGATACCTGTGCCTTTGGTTACAATGCATGTGCTTTTAACCAGCTCTCA